CCATTTCATGTATTCACAACTATGTATACATTTATACTTATTATCTTGTAAACAATTGGCAAATCAAATAAATAAATAAATAAATAAATAAAGTTTCTGCGAGGCTCAGTCAAAAAGCTAAAACACTTGAAGCTAAGACTTCAATAGTCAAAAGCAGGGGTTTTCAAACTTTGACAGCTTTAAGACTTGTGGACTTCAACTCCCAGAATTCCTCCTCCAGTCATGTTAGCTCAGGAATTCTGGGAGTTGAAGTCCGCAAGTCTTAAACTTGCCAAGTTTGAAGGCCCTTGGTCAAAAGAAATAATGTGGAGAAAGAGAATTACAACATCTCAGAAACGAGAAAGGAAGAAAAGATTGAGCATTTTAGTTTCTGCTCAATTGGCCAAAAATGGGGTGGGGGGAACAGTTTCCCTCTTTGGCCCTGATGGTATTATGGACAAGGAAATCAGGAGCTATTTTCAGTCTTGAAAAGAAGTTGGGAGTGCAAGGGCACCAATGACAAAATTTCCCTGTCTCTTCTTAATTCTTTTCTTCCTGTTTTTGATTGGCCCACCTTCTGCTTCCTGTCACTGTGTCTCTTGTAATGCACAGAAGTAGACAGCAGAGTCCTTCAACTGGATGGCTGGTTTCTGCATGTTGAAAGTCCCGTTTTGCTTGTTGTCATGGGGAATGTGAGTAGCTTGGAATCCTTGAGCTTGTTGAGCTTGTTTTGAATAAGATGCCAAAAGGGATTTTGGAGGTTGATCAGGAGGCTGAATGTACCAGAATAAGTAATGTGTGTCTCTAAACCGTGCTTCATAAGAACAATGGAGAGAGACAAGTTGTCCCTCAGTAACAGTCATAATGCCAGTTGTTTGTTTCACAGATTGTCCTGTGCTTCCTCCTGGACAGAAGATAATGGAGAAGGCATGAAGCTCGCTAAAGAAGTTAAAGAAGGCATGAAGCTAGCTAAAGACAATTTTCCCTATTTCAGAAACAATCTTGCTGCTATTTGGACTATTTTCTTGCTGTGTCAAAACTAATTATGCTAATTATGAGGGTTACCATGGACAAATTCCTTCCTGGTTTATATTCTTTCTACCATGCTCACTATCAAACATATTGAACATTTAAACAAATGATCCTTTCTTCCAGTTAAATACTTCCATCCATGTTCTTGCAATATTTCTGTCTATTTTCTAGACATTTTCTAAGAGATCTCACTCTACCTCATTTCAAGGAACCTAAACAACCAAATATATACCTAGCCAAAACCTATAGTTCAACATTGTGAGGAAATATGTGGTGGACATATCAAAAAGTGAAAAAAACTATTGGACAAAAATACTTACATGGCTGGAAAAAAATATAAAGCAGCATATTGATTTGAAACCAGAGACAATTTTGTTGGGCATTCTACCCAACAAGTATAATAAAGGGAATGCATATTTGGTTTACATGTGTTGACCACAGCTAGAATTATATTTGCACATCAATTGAAAAGTGAAGAGATCCCAACAGATGAAAATGTGATTAAAAAAAATATTAGGATATGCAAAAAAAGATGCACTTATAATTAAGGAAAAGAAAGAAACTGAATATTATTTTTTACTTGGGACTTATTTTATCAATGGTTAGCTGATAAAAACAGGAGCTAGAAATAGGGAACTATATGGAAGGATCAGTGGTATAAGGAAGGTATGTTAAATTGGTTAAACAAATATTGTTATTATTGTTAATAATATTATTATAATTGATACTAATGAAATGAATACTGCAGTAAACACTTTGTCTATTATTTCGTAAAATGTCTTGTACCCAGACAACCTACTGTTCAACTGAAATTGGATTTTTTATGTTATAAAATAAAATAATAATAAACTTTAAAAAAGACATTGTGAGGAAATAAATACTTACTTAAAAATGAGATGATGGTGATGATAAAAAGCCACATTTTTCCAGGTGAAGAATGGGGTTATATATATATATGGAGGATTTCAAAGCTGGTGTAGCCACCTTCAGAGTTTCCTTGCCAATTTTGCTATTGAAGGGATGCAAAATTTCACTTCAGAAAGAAAGTGATGGGCTTCTCATATGTAAATTTGGTGGCAAAGGAAAGACAAACCACAGGATATGGTTCATGGAGCATATGTGCTACCAAGGATATCATATGTGTCACCTGGTAAAACTCATGTTGTATCAAGATTGCCACCATGTGTTTAAAATGAGCTGTAAGAAAGCAGTTTGGTTGAAGGAAGGATCCCAGTGCTGAAGGTGATTTCTGAAAGAAAAAATTATTGTTGGCCAGGTGAACGGAGAGGAAACTGTGAGGATAAATATACATGAGAGAGAGAGAGAGAGAGAGAGAGAGAGAGATCTTCAAAATATGAAATGTGTCTGAAAGACTCACCATTGTTAAGTTAGTCAATTGACAATTACATAATTCCCGTCTTTGCTCTTAATACTTTTTCTCCTGTTTTTGATTGGCTGCCCTTCTGCTTCCTGTCACCATGTCTCTTGAAATGCACAGAAGTAGACAGCAGAGTCCTTCAACTGGATGGCTTGTTTTTGCATGTTAAAAGTCCCTTTTTGCTTGTTTTTATGGTGAGTAGCCTGAAAGCCTTGGGTCTTCATGTCATTTCATTCAACAAGATCTCTAGAAGCTGACCAGGATGGTGAATGTACCAGAATGGGAAATTTATGCCACTAGGCACATCTGAGAAACAGAGATTGTCCTTCTGTAACAATCACAATGCCAGATGTTTGGTCCACTGACTGTCCTGTGCTTCCTCCTGGAAAGAAGATAAATGCAGAAGACATAAGCTGAGTTGAAGTAGTAGTCCTTCTCCCTCTTTTCAGAAATAACAATAGTGTTGCTTGGGCCTACTTTCTCTGTAAATATTATGTACAAATTCCTTCTCAGATTCCTTCTCTATCATTCCCATCACTAAGCACACTCAACAAACATACACACGTTCTTCATTCCAGCTGATTACATCTGTTCTTGTAATTCCTTGCAAATAATTTACTATCGATTTCCAAGACATCATCCGAAACATCAACCTGATTTGAAGGAACCTAAACAACTGAAGATATGCCCAACCAAATGCAAGGAGATAAATACTTAATAACTTTTTAGAAACAACCTTGCTGCTTTGACCTATTTTCTTGGTGTTTGCAAACATTTATAATTTTTATAATTATATTTTTTATAAGGGCTGCACTGAACAAATCCCATCCTGCCCAGTGAGGCTGAAACCGCATTAGTTCAAGGCATCACCCATGTGTCAAAGATTCATTGGTTCTTTCAAAACAGAAATAGGGAAGTCTAATGAATGGGACAAATATTCAAAGGAGTTTAACCAGTTGTGGGATTCAATTTTTTTTTACTACTAGTTCTGTGGGCATGGCTTGGTGGGCATGACAGGGGAAGGTTACTGCAAATTCCCATTCCCTCCCCATCCCAATAACCTGCTTTCCAGCTCCATTCTTCTGTGAAGGGCAACAAAAGAAGATCCAGCCAATCAGCTGGGACTCAGGAGGTAGAGAATAGGTGGGGGTGGGCCCAGTCAGAGGTGGTATTTGCCGGTTTTCCAAACTACTCAAAATTTTGTCTACCTGTTTTCCAGAACTGGTCAGAACCTGCTGAATACCACCTCTGAGTCTAACATTATGAGAAAATAAATACTTACTTAAACCTGAGATGATGATGAATAGGACAGACCACAACCACATTTTCCCAGATGAAGAATGGGCATAATAACCCAAAAAGTTACTCCGGAGGATTTCAAATCTGGTGTAAGGCTTCAGAGGTTCTCTTGCAACTTTACTATCAAAGGCACTATACAGCTCATTTCCTTCACAAAGAAATTGGCTTCTAATATATAAATTTGGTAGTAAAAGGAAGACAAACCACAGGATATGGTTCACAGAACATATGTGCTACAGAGAATATCATATGTGTCATGTGACAAGACTCATGTTGTCTCAAGATTGCCACTGTGTGTTTTAAAGCAGGTGTAAGAAAGTAGCTAGGTTGAAGGAAGGATCCCAGAATTGTAGATGATTTTTGAAACAGGCATTATTACCCAGCTGAAAGGAGAGGCTTTGGGAGATTAATAGAGGAGAGAGGGAGAGAGAGAGGACAGAGGAGAGGGAGGGGGAGGAAGGGAGAATGGGAGAGAGGAGAGAGGAGAGGGAGGGGGGGAGGGAAAAGAGTGGAAAGGGGAGAGGGAGAGAGGAGAGAGAGGGAGAGATCTGCATAAAATGAAATGTGAATTGAAGAGTTATGTTTGAGTCTAAAAGAGTTAAAATGGAAAGCTGAATCCTGAGGTTTTACGCTTTAATATTTTATTTGTACAATCCTTCAGTGAGGGTAATAGACAGTTTATAAATTTGATAAATAAATAAATGTTCAAAGATAGACAATTGGCAATGCTATTACCTAAAGGATATGAAATGGGTGGGATTCTGCTGGTTTGGACTAGTTTAGGCGAACCCCTATCTCGGAAAATCAGTTGGGAGTGAATCAGTTCACTCTGATGATCATGTGGGCCCACTCATCTGCCCTGTGCTATAGTGACCTTCATCATCCCAGCTGATTAGCGCAGAAGAGCAGATTGCCGCTCCTCAGCTGTGTTACTCCCCCGAAGTAACATGGCAGGTAAGAATTTTAGCATCGCTGTTCACGTGCATGCAGCGCGCGTCAGCCGCGTGTGGACACCAAGCACACAATCACCGAACTGGTTGTCATACCGGCAGCTTCCCACCCCCTGATATGAAAGCATTCTTACAGAATACAAATAACAGAGTTGGAAGAGACCTTGGAGGTCTTCTAGTCCAACCCCCTGCTCTGGCAGGAAACTCTATAACATTTCAGACAAATGGTTGTCCAATCTCTTCTTTAAAACTTCCATTGTTGGAGCATTACACAACTTCTAAAGGCAATTTGTTCCACTGGTTAATTGTTCTCACCATTAGGAAATTTATCCTTAGTTTTAGGTTGCTGCTCTCCTTGATTAGTTTCCAACCATTGTCTTGCCTTCTGGTGCTTTGGACAATAGATTGCCCCCCTCTTCTTTGTGACATCCCCTGAGATATTGGAACAATGCTATCATGTCACTTCATTTTTTATTTTTTATTTTCTTTCCTTGTCTTTTTAATAAATGATGTAAAAGTGTCTCTGATGGTTTTACTCTGCTATTTATGATTGACTACTATTTATGATTGAATAGTGAATTGAAAACATGATAGCAGTATTCCAGTATTTGAGAGGCTGCCACAAAGAGAAGGGGTCAGCTTCTTTTCCAAAGAACCCAAAGGCCAGAAAAGGAATAATGGAGGAAATTAATCAAGGAGAGAACCAACCTGAAATTAAGGAGAAACTTCTAAGTGAGGACAATTAACCAGTGGAAAAGATTGCCTTCAGAAATTGTGGGTTAGTCTAGTTTCATTGTTTGACTCCTAAAAAAGCAAAATATGAATATTAGCTGAAACAAAACCTTGGTGTTTTTCAGCTCTTATTTTAAAGAAGAAAGAATTCTACTCCCTTTTGAATTTAGATGCACGATCCTCTAATTCTTAATTCATAATTCAATTATTAATTGAATTCATATTTCAGTATTAATGATTAATATTATTAATAATATTAATAATCATTATAAAATTATTAATTAATTCATAATTCAATAATTATGGACTACTCTACTTGACCAGGGTAAAGCAATAGATACAATTTACATCGACTTCTGCAAAGCCTTTGATTCAGTGGTACATGACAAACTACTGTTACAACTAAACTCTTACAGCATTTCTGGATCCCTTCATAAGTGGATTACTGCATTCCTGTCAAACAGGCAACAAATAGTAAAAATTAGGAGTGCTATATCAAACCCTGCTCCAGTTAACAGTGGTGTCCCCCATGGCAGTGTTCTAGGATC